AGGTGCATGTTTTAGGGGAGAAATTAAAAAAAAAAAAAAAAAAGCCCAGACTTTCCACGCGGGACTTCGGAAGTGAAGAGAAATTAAATCTCTTAATGAATTAATGAATTAACGTGTTATTTAATTATTAATAAAGAAGCGAGGGGGTGCGATGCACACGCGTGTACACAGGAGCACACGCGCACGGACACACGTGTGCACAGGCGAACACACACACACCCCCCACACCCCCCACACCCCACACCCATCCAAAATCGTGATTAAAAGGGGGGGAAAAGCCGCCGCCGAATGTTTCACTATCAGTGAGAGCAAAAGGGAGAGCAACCCTCTGCCAGCAGCGAAAGCAGATGGGGTAATACCGTGAATAATTTGCCTTTTATGCTCCAAAGCCCTAAGAAAACTTATATTAAAGCAGCGAGGAGCAATAAAAGTTTTATGGTCCTGCAAGAGGGGTGAAGTGCTTGTCAGGCTCCAAACGCTCCGTTCCTGGGGCCGAGGAGGAGGAGGAGGGGAAGGTCCCCTGCGCACCAGAGGAGAGGGGGATTTGAGCCCTGCCGGGAGAAAAGGGGCGAAAAGGCTGCAAAAGGCACCAAAAATCAGGGGTGGGCTGTGGAAACAACGCGTGTGTGCGTGTTTTAGACACCTGCGTGCACAGCCAGAGGTGTCTGGAAAAACCCCCCGGGGTAAAAAGGTGCAGCGGAGAGAGGATCCCACGAGGGCCGAAGGGATGGTGCCGTCCTTCCCCGCTCCCTCCTAACAAACCAAGTTCCAGGTTAACAATCAGAACCTCCCCGCGCCAATAAATAACGGGAGCGCCGAGAGACAGGGCTCGTTTTTCTGGCCGGGCCGGGGGCCGGGTTCTGCCCGCCCATGCCAGGAACAATTTACCGGCCGGGGTTGCTCTAATTTAAAAGCATAAGAGCGGGCAGGCTCTGACGGGGAATCGCCTCAAAGAACAAGGGGTCGGCCTCGCCTTCCCCCCTCCCGCCCCCCTGGAATGTATTTTTCCCGTCGCCATGTTGCCGGGTTGGTGGCGGGGATTCCCAGGAAATAGTTACAACCGGGAAAAAAGGAAAAAAACAAAAAAAACCCCCAGAAAACCCCCCAATTCCGGGGCTCCGGGCGCGACACCTCCGCGGGTTCCGTCCCCCACAACTCCCCACCCCCCGGTTTAATTTGTGCCGCCGCATTAAAGCCGCGGGCCCGGGTTTGTCTCACGATTCTTGCGTTTCTCCATCGTTCACTAACCCCGCGAATTTATTCCTGGGATGTGACGCCTTTCCCCTTGAGGAGGGAAATTTTTTTTTTTCTTCCCTTGTACCTCCTTGTGATGCGTGGGAAAAAAATTCCCTTTTTCCCCAAGAGGTTCTTTTTGCTTTTATTTTTTTTTATCTCTCTCCTTTCTTTTTCTTTTTTTTTTCCCCTCCTCTTTTTATTTATTTTTTTTTTCTCGCAACTCGGTGCGAGCAAAAAGCAGAGACAACTGTTGGGAGCAGCTGGAAGGATTTTCCTTTTGCATCCCAAACTCTTGCACTTCATCCCAGCTCCTCAGTGACCCCTCGAAAAGGAAGAACCTTCAGCCTCGTGGCAAAGCCCGAGACGCCCAAAATTCCACTTGATTCCAAACGAGAAAAAAACCCCGATGGGAAACCCGACTGTTCTTTTTCCATTGATCTGCCGAAATTGAGTAGATTTGTGGCGATTTTGATAAGTGCATTGACAACATAGAACATTGCAGGAAAATCTCCCCTTAATCGAGCTGGTTTGTAATTTTTTAAATTATTATTATTATTATTTTCTTTACCTCTTTGCTAAACTCTGTGCTTCGGCCCCGGCTTCAGCTGCAGCTTTAGATTTATTCTGTGTGTCTCCCAAACCCTCACCACCCACACGGATGCTTGAAGTGACAAAAGTTTCCAGGAGGCTTCTCCCCTCTGGGAATGCGGCCGGTCCCTCCCGGCTGCAAAAATGGGAGAAATGGAGCTGGAACAAACAGCTTCCAAACCAGCCCCTTTCCCGCTGGGCACCAGAACGGTTTCATCTCCCTCCCCCTCCCGAAATTTGTGCTTTCCGCGGTTGGATTAAACTTTATAAATCTCTCTCGGGTTAAGCAACTCCTCGGCAAAAGCCAAATTTCTTTGCTGAGTGAGTCAGGCCGAGCTGTCAAAAGTCTTTGGAGGAAAAGATTGATCGTTCCTCTCTTATTTTCGGGTTGTGTTCCCGGGCACTTTAAAGAAGGGGAGGGGGAGGGAAATCTTCCTGGGAAATGACTTTTCATTTTATTTCTTTATTTTGTAAACTCTGGAAGTGGCACTGTTTATTGGAGACGGGAAGGAGGGGGGAAAATAGATGGGAAGGAAGAAATGTGATTTCCAAGATATCTGTGACCTTAAAACACGTTTGGCCTTTAAGGAAAGTGCAAAAGGTCCATTAAGTGTGGCTGGGGAAGCAGAAGGATTATGCTGTTCTTTAAAAGTCGTTTAACCTGGTAAATCGGGCTGGTCTAAATATCCTTGGCTTAAAAGCTCGCTTGATTTCCTGAGCGCTCATATCCAGGCTCGGACACAAAGCTCTGGCCCAAACCCTCCCAGTGGCTTCAGTTTTCCGAGTTTCACAATATCGGGATGGGATGGGAACATCCCCCAGCAGTGGCGGCCAGAGCCGAGACCCAGCCGGGCTTCCCGGGGGGAAAAAGCCCTTTTCCAGGGCCTGGGTCCCCCCCCGGGGGGGCGAACTCCGGGGAACTCAGAGGCTGCAGGGACCTGCTGCGGGCAGGGCAGGAGGAGCAGGAGGAGCGGGCAGCACCGGGCAGGGCAGGAAGGACAG